CGTGGAGCTGGCTGGGACTGGCTCCATTGGACATGGGGAAAGCTTCTAGCAGCTTCTCACGGAAGCCACCCCTGTAGCCCCCCTGCTACCAAAACCTTGCCATGCAAACCCAATACAGGATCATAGATGAAACATTCTTCTTTGCTTTTGAAATTTTAACAGCAGAAAGAATTGCTGATTTGGTTGCAGGACATTACAGTCTTTGAGGCTGGAAGGTGTCTGATGGCAAGAAACTTCTGATGCCAAAGCTGTTTGGCCCTGGAAGATTCTGGGAGTCTGCTGTTTGCTTGAGGTGGATTGCTTTACCTTTTCATAATAGATAAATAGGAGAAAACCCCATGCCTTGGCAGAATTATTCGAGAAAAACTGTAAAAGATGGACCCTTGTAAGAAGCTAAATTTTCAACTGACATAAAAAAAATGCAGAAATTGGTGAATTTGCAACCAGAAAGTCCATCACTTGCACAGCATTAACTTCTGCTTGGTTTTAAACTTACTCTTATGCACTGACATACTCAATTGTGCTGCTGTTGATTATTAGTTTTTTTCTACTCTGTTTTCAGGTTCGAAGTTCAGTCTTGGAACTGATGAGCAGAAGAGGCCACTTGAAGACATGCTGTGTTCGGATACTGACATCAATTTGGAGATATCATTTGCAGAACAGGCAGCTAATCTCAAAGACACATCAGTAGGCAAAATGTGCAAGGGTGGAGGGGGTGACACTCTTCTGCCAGTAGGTGTATCCTATTTATTGCTCTCATTCTTTGTTTTTACTAGTGGTGCTATTTGGGTGATATTTATTTGATAGTGGGTGAATTAGATTTAGAAGAACATTGTCAGATCCAGCTTCATGGAGCCAGACCTCAAGATAACTCATTTTGGGGAACAGTATTCTCAGTAACATGGAAGTAACTACTTTTATACCTATTTATGTCATTGCCTGTCTGGCAAAATGCACCCTATGTGTAAGCAATAATGGACTGGTAATATTAAGCTGGAATTGTGGCTTAGTGGTAGTTGTACACAAACTGTGTCCTTACTTTGTTTTGTTTACAGCCCCTTTTCCTGTTATCTGAGGTGAGATGCTTTACTTCTGTAATAAAAATCTCTGTTGTCATTTAAAAAGGGTTGGTGGATGCCTGTAGAAACCTTGTGCAGCTATCCAATGCAGATAGGTGAGGGATGAGAATGAAGAACAGAATGGTCTATAGAAGTCTAAAGTCAAATGGCAGGAAATTAAGGATTAGTTTGTGATCAGTTTTACTCTCCAACTCTTAATAAAAAAGGCTTATTCTGAATGAATCCAAATAAATACAAAAGAAGATCCTCCAAGGCATTTTGTTGTTGATCCTCAGGCATCTCTTTGAGGATCTCTCTCTTCCTAAGAGTTCATGAACATGCAGTAACATATGACCTGTAAACTAACTGGTGGTGTGAAAAATGTCTTTTTTTTTCCCCTAAGAGTGCATGAAAACATGTCTGAGTAAACATATTGTCTGAAGTAATAATGTTTCACAGTTCTTCAAACACTTAATTTAGATAAGGACATGTGCAGTTCTTCAAATAGTAATTACCTCATGTATCCTAGTTTAAACATTAGAAACCAGGCACTAATGGATATTTAGAAATGGATTCTAAAGTGTTTGAGTCATGTTTCTCTAATGCAGCCTATAACAAGGAAATGGTAGCTATAGTCTGACTTACTTCTGTATATATGCATATATATGTATGTATACGTATGCATATATATAAAAATACATATATATGTATAATATGTATGTAATAATAATATACTAATATGTATAATACGTAATAATACGTATAATACATACTTCAGTTATACTTTTAGCTAGGCTTATGAAGGATTGCTCAAAGACATGGCTATGGGATTTCTCCTTCAGTGATGAAAGGAGTGGCAAAATGATAAAAAAAGGGAGTTACCTATTTAAATCTACAATTTTGTATTTATTGCACCTTCGTCATTGGCAGCTATTTTTACACGTACATGATTGTGCAAGTCAATGAAACCTCAAGGTGAGAAACTGACTATATATCTAAAATTTGTAAATTACGTTTATGTTTCAGTATGTGCCCTTGTAGTCATGTACCATAACCACCAATTCATCTGTGCTGTCGCTGCATTTCTATGGGATGAGAAAATAATTCTGGAGTAAAATATATCTTTCTAAATGGAAGAAAGTCTTGTCAGCCTTCTGGCTTTGAGTCGTGCACACTGCTAATGTCAGGCACAGGCAAGAGTCTTAGAAGCCTGCTGGTGAGAGATGGAGTTAAAAAGCTCTATGAGCTGGGAAGTCCCTCTCCTTCGTGGCTCAATTCCTTATATTGGTCTCTGACTGCAGCTTCTGAGCATTTAGTGCAGTAGAAATGAGCCATAATTAAGGATCCCCCTTCCCTAAGAAGGGAATCCCTTTATTATTAAGGCACCCAAATGTGTTATTTTGTGTTCATAAGTGCAGAGGGACTTCTGTCCCAATTGTACCTGCATAGTATTGTTCATGGACAGCCATTTCCACCACTATAAATTACAGAAGGTGGTGGTGGGTGGTTACAAGCAAGAGAAAGCCAGACTCTTCTTGGAGGTGCACAGCGAAAGGACAAGAGGCAAGGGACACAAGTGACTACAGGGGAAATTCTGTTTTGCAAAGAAAAAAAAAGTCCCCATGAGAGCATTTAGTACTGGAACGGGTGCCTACAGAGGTTATTGGTAGTTTTCAAAATTCAGTTGGACAATGCAACAAGCAACCCAATCAGACGTTGAATATAGCCTTGCTTTGAGCAGTCATTTGAATTAGATGACCTCCAGAAGTCACTAGGAACCTAAATCCTCCTATGATTTTAAGATCATCTGCTTTTCAACCTATCTGGGGGATTCTCCTGTGATTTAGTCAGTAACAGCAGGCTTCATGAGGAAAGGTTCTGCCCTGAAGGAAGCACAGCCTTCGAGCTAAGTAATTTGTTATGACTTGGATTATTCACTCTGCTGCAAATCTCTGCTTTTAGAATTTCAGGCTGCCGAAGGACAAAACAGGTACCACAAAGATTGGTGACCTGGCCCCTCAGGACATGAAGAAAGTCTATTCTTTAGCACTGATTGAATTAACTGCTCTCTATGACATATTTGGGACAGAATTCAAGCAGCAAAAAGCTGTGAAAATCAAAACCAAAGGTGAGTTGGTGTTTCATATTCTGAACCAAATGGGTCTGTTTTAATCCAACAAAACAAATGCATCCAGTTCTTTATGATTTTCCAGCAGAAAATTTGTATTAATGTAAAAATAGTAACATAGATCCTGAGCAGCATTTAATTATACACCTTAACTCAAGGCACACTTTAAGCAAGTTCATGCACATAGTCACTCCAGCTATGGGACTGTGCTCTCTGTCTAAAGTTAAAACTCAGGTCAGTAACTGAGCAGGTAAACCAAGGAGTGAAGAACAGGAACTATCTTTGTAGCGTGCTGTGCAGGAAGAATTGCTTCACAGAAGTTTGTATGTGCTGATGTATTCCCCGGGAGGGCACGTGTACCTGCTCTTTGTGGGTATTCTTTTCCTGGTTTCCTGTGCTACTTCTACCTGACTTTTTTGCTTTCATTGCCCTCGGCTGGAGATTCTGACATCTTTGTCACCTGCTTTCCTCTTCTGTCTGGTACAAACTTGCCCGTGTCACGTAGACCTTTCCCATCTGATACTTACCCAGGCCATAATGCAGTTTTTATGCTGAATGGCATCATATTAAGTCGAAGATTTGGGCTGTTGCAGAGGATGTCGAGACAGCCGCAACGCGTCATTTTGCTCTGCAAGCCATTGGAGCGTATGTATAATCACAGTGCTTTTCTTGGGAACATAGGACACGTGGAAACCGATTTCAGGATGCTAGAGGTTTTCAATGCTTTGTTTGTTTTCTGTATTTCTGGCTTCTGCTAAATGCTTTACAAGAGCTTGAAGTGTGTTCCCAGTTAATCACAAGCCTGCTTTGGCCAAAACCCTGTTGTCAAGGTTCAGTGAATGTGACAGTGCAATAGCTCACTTTAAATAATTGAAAGCAAGTGAGAGAGTTGAGAGATATACAGCAAGGTACAATAGATTCTTCAGAATATGCACTTCGCTTTACAGTAGTAGAAAATAACTTTTTAAATGCAAAAGGCATACACAGAAACATCTATGAGACCTTGATCCCTTAAATGCATTTTCTTCTTGCAGAAGTGCTTGTGCTTTCACTAATAAACAGAGACAAAATGCTTCCTTTTGTATTTTGGGTCTTAGTTTTAATTGATTCTTCTTACAAATTTATTGTTAATTGAATTTCACTTATAGCATTATTATGTGAATGACAGACAGTCATAAAAAACATTGAATTGATTAAAACCCCTGGTTTTTCCCAAGTTAAAAAAGATGGGCTAGACTCATGGAAATGTTTAGGAAATAGACAATGACATGTCACCCTTTCTGCCAAACAAATCTGCTTTTGCAATGTAGTGCTTTCAGTGCCTTGTTGCTCTACCTGACCTTCACCTCTTCACTCTTGAAGTGCTGTTTGGCCTATTGATTCATACAATAGTGGATCTATTGGCTGTTCCCCTTTGTGCTTGAGTACATAAAGGCAATGAAAACATAATTCTTCTGTGGACTGTTGTGCTGTGCTCAGCCCTGCCTTTCTGTTGACCTCCTACAGTTTGTTTCTCCAACTTCATCTCAGTAGAAACTTTTATTATTGACAAGATCTTCAAGATGATAAAACCATGGGGTATGGATATTGAGTGTATGTATGAGTCTCTATGTATTTTATAAGTAGACTTCTTATGCTGATAGAGATACAAGAACTCCCCAATTTGGCACTGAAACTGATGTTTCTTTGATGTATATCACATTCCTTCAAGGGCTGACATCTTTTTAGTAATAACAGCTGTTCTGTCCTCAATATTGGCATGGCATGATACCAAGCAGGAATTTTTAGCTACGTGTAGTGTTATATGCTGTTTCAGAAAAATTGCACATACAGCAATTATCCGTACTTCTGACAGAGAAGTTCTATGTCAGCAAACTTGGGGTTAGTAGTTACTAGTATAGCTCTCTTCTAACGGTCATTCACTTCTATTCAACTGGGCTATAAACACATGGAAGTCCCATTTACTTGAAGACTAAGGCTAGTTTTGCATCAAGGCTAGATTAACTAAGACTAGATTCAATTTTTTTTTTAATTTGCATTGCCTTAGCACTGTTGTAAAGACCATTTCCTAATCAAGGCTTAACTGTACTTTTGCTTTTATTAAAAAAAAAAAAAGGCAAAACACCTTTGACAAGATGATGATCTTGCTATCCTGCTGGTGTTGTATAATGCAAAAGCACAAGGTTTGAAAAGCTCTTCTTTCAAAACCCTCATAAAGACAAGTGTTCAGAGTAACTCTGGGTGATAATTACATCTGTCTCATTTTAGTAGCCAAATTCCTGGATACTTTACTCATGCCATTTGCATCTTAACTGTAATAACTTGCATTGAGTGATGAAGATCTGCATTGCAGGGTCATCATGACACCCATTCTGCAAACCAGAACCACGCAGATGGTTCATTTGTGCAGTTTGCTTCACTGTACTGCAGAGTATGTGGATGGCAATTTGAAGTCAAAATAGAAGACTTCTGATTTATGGTTGAAGGAAGAGATGAATGAATCCTTTTAGCCAGAATGCTTTGTGTAATAACTTGATTGACGAGGACATTCAAACACTTTGAACAAAAGGTCAATAGCTCTGAATAGGTTTATCACTTCAAAAATGTGGTTTATGCCATTATCACATATATTGGAACAGATGTGGATAATATCTCCATTTCTTTTGCTTTATTCTTCAGACTCTGGCTTGTTTGGTGTCCCACTGTCAGTTTTACTGGAACAGGATCAGAAGAAGGTGCCAGGAACAAAGATACCACTGATTTTTCAAAAGGTAAATAGGCATGAACAAGTCAACTTGTTACATACCTGCAAATGACAAACAAATAACATTTTGTCCTGGATTTATTTATTCCCTGTAGCAAAGTTTTCAACATATTACTTTAATCAGTCAAAGTTATTGTAACTTTTATTTGCAGCTTACTTATTAATTCAGTAAATGTGATACTTTGCTTTGTATCAGACATATTTTAAGTTAAAGGAATAAAGTTCTTTTTTGTTACAACTGGTCTCCATGATTTAGGCAAGTTTACTAATAAGCCTGTGAAAACTGACAATCACTGCAACCAAATTCCATTCCATAATGGTGGTGTAACTTTCATCATCAGTTGTGCTGCCCTGTATTTTTTCACAGCAAATACATGAAATTCCACAGAAATTCTCAATCCCTGGCCCGTGGGCTGAACCTACCTTTCTAGGAAGTGTTTTTTCCCTTTCAGAAGTGGTTTGGGCCATGAGGCAGGTAGCTAAGGAGTGGGCATCAGGCTGGATAACTGCCTCTGGTGGTGGCAGGTGTCCTTTTCCAGAAGATTTGTTGCTTTAGTACGTGGGGGGATGCTTTGGCCCGTATCATGTCATGGTAATGGGGAAGATAACTGGAAAGATGATGGAGACCCTGGATTTACTGCCCATGCATAGCAGGTCTCATTGCATGGGAAGGGAGAGATCACAGTGTGTGGACCTGTCCTAACACTGACAGAAACTCAGTGCTGTGTCATCACCACTTCAGTAGGTTTGGGGACCTGCTTAAGTTATTTTTCAAGAAACAGAAAATTCAAAAGTAGTTTTGCATCACTCTCTCAAAACTATTACTGTGTCATTTATGCCAGAAATTACTTCAAGATCATAAAAATACATTTCTGGGAAGGATGCTATCTAGAAGAAAAGAAATCAAATGACAAAAAGTGATTGATCACTGTGCTATCCTAGCAACATAGTAAGCATAGTTCTTCAGGAAGAAAATTCTACATAAACATTTCTAGCTTATAGATGTGATTTGTTTTGCAAGGTGCAGGCGTCATTTGGAATACAGTTTTTCTTTAAATGAGAGTATGAAAATAAAAAGTTTCCCATTTCTTCTGCCTGTACTCTACAGCATGTGCTTTCCAAGAATAGGGGATTTGTATAAAGTGCAAGAAAGAACATTTTTGTGCATACTGCTTTTTAAATGTACCTTGGTTATCACTGAAATGAACCAAACCAAGGTAACAGGAAGGCTGCTTAATTAAAAAAAATAATAATAAAAGGTACATCTAGGTTTTATTTCATTGAGGAATTACGGTTAAAAATAATGACATAATTTAGTTTAGGGGTTTTCTGACTGGAAAATCTGAGGGTAATACCGATCCTTGTATCTCCACCAGAAGTTTCTGCTGACAGTAATTCAGGTCTCCGGCCTGCTAATGAAGCCATGCAAAACAGCTCTGATAGAGATGAAGAGGGGATTTCCCGTACGCAGGAGGCTGGTGGTGGCCAGCGGCCACCTCTTGCTGCCTGCCAAGGGGGCACTTGTGAGTGAGTGTGTGCGAAGGAGCCGTGGCCGCCAGCAGTGCCCCCAGACCTTGCCTCCCCATAGACGTGGGGACGGTGGCAAATCACACAACATGCCCACAGTGTCTTTGTGCTCAACAGGTGAGAGTGGCAGCCACTGCTCTGGTGTAAGCTGGGTACGGTGAGAGTTGGATGCAGCCAGTTAGCACTTTTTTTTTTTTTTTTTTTTAACCAAGGGAAATATAGCAGGGTGACACCTTTAGGGCTGTTTTCTAACTTTGTGGCTTTTTCTGTCTGATCTTTTTTTATGGCATTTATCAGTTACATAAATACAGTGGTAGGTAAACCCCCTTTAATTTCTGTAACTGGAGAAAACACAACTGTGTTGCGTAATTTTTTCTCAAGAGCTGGCACAGGAAGGTATGTAACAAAGGCACTGGCCTAGTTAAACACTGTGAGAACCATTTGTGCTAAAATGATGTCATCAGCTTTTGACGTTTACAAATTTCTTTTGAATACTCTTAAATCCATCCTTCAGTGAATAGTTCTAGGCATATGTTTTAGAGAAACAGAATTTATGATACGTGTTTTAAGTACTTTTACAGGATTTCTATTAATTTATCTAAGCCATTCGTAGGATTGCAAACTGTTGAGTTTGTTAGGGGAATGCCAGTATTTGCAAAACTGAGGCTTCTTTAAAGCCTAGAAGTACTTAGTTCCTGTCTGGTAAAGTCGTAAAGAAGAGTATTTGTGAGAAAGTTAGTACTGTATCTCTGATGTTACCTTAATTGTTTTGATTTGGAGACATTTTAACAAGGGTAATAATTGGGATTTATTTTTGAAGCCAGAGTAATTCTGGAAAAAAACTGCTTCAGTCTTTGGAGGAGACTTGAAAGAGGTCTAAAAAATACAGTTTTCTTTTTTAATAAAATAGACAAACTCCTCTTTAATAGTGTTCATAAAACAGGTAAGAGCCATATTAAAGGTTTTGTTCTACGTCTACAACTATAATCCATGTGTAAACTGTGTCTTTGTGTGTCTGTTACATATGTGGGTGCAAAAATGCATGCGTACACACACACACACACACACACACACACACACACACACACATATACATAAAGGCTCCAATATATCAGAACTATGTACCAGTAATTTTTAATTGGCATCTTCATTCATGCAGTTTGCTTTGTGTTTGACAGCTGATTGCCCAGATAGAAGAGGCAACTCTGGAAACAGAAGGACTTCTTAGAATACCAGGAGTTGCAACAAGAGTAAAGGTAAAACGTTGCACAGATTCTCAACATCCCCCCAAACTTACCTGTGTTTGCTGATTTTATTTTGTCATACAAATATATTTTAACACCAGGTTGTTCTGAAGATCTTCAAAAACAGAAAGCAAAATCTCTTTACAAAGAAAACTGAGTTATATTAACCAGAAAGCTGATGGTTTCATCCAGTGTAGTTTTGGGGAGAAGACTGGAGTTCAAGTTTGAAGGAGAGTTAAGGCTATGTTTCAAATTCATTTGTGCCAAAATCTCGTTAATTCTTGGCACGAGCTTTCCAGCCTTTTGCTTTTTCCCTGAACCAGCTTAATCATCTGACCAGTTCATACACAGTCTTTTACCCCAGGAGGAAGCTTTTCTCTGGCATTGTGATCCTATTTTAATAGCTAGACTTAACCTGTGTTACAGGGCAAGGCAGCCAGCCTCTCACATTTATTTTTATGAACATCAGTGCAACTACTCAGCTCACTACGCACAATCTTGTTAGGCGCGTCCATGCACACCGACACTTTGCAGAGTGAGTGCCAATTACATGCAGACTCTTCCCCAGTATTTGCCTTAATGCAGGAAACTAAATACACAGTATTATTCGTGCCAAGAGTCCATGTGTTAAAAAGACGGTCTGAACTGGCCTTAAATTCTAAACGGAAAGAACAATTTAAGTGGATTCAGCTGTCCGAAGACGTCTGCCAGCCTCTGTTGTGTAGAACTTGGTCCAGCAGCTGGTTCATTAGAAACAACTGAAAGAAGGGAATATTACGGAAATTGGCTTTGTTTATTTACCAGTAACTAAGATATGGGTTTTTTTACAGTTTTCCTCCATTCCTTATTTTCCACTTTTCATCAGTTCTGCATACTGGAATGATTTTGGAGTGATTTTGTTTATTTGCTTATTCTTTGATTTTTATCAGTTTAATACAATTTCCCAGGCAGAGGATCATTCACTATTTGACTTCCGTTAATTTTTTGCCTATTTATTTGCAGGAGCTGCTTCTTTGAATTAAGCGATTGTTTTGTTAGCAAAGATGTTAGGTTCCTTTACTTATTCGAATGGGAAACTTTATAGAAAAACAAATAATTTAGCATACCAAAGGACTGATGTTTTCTCTTAATTTTCTTAAACTTTTTTCTCCTATAGAAAAAGAAAACATTTTTCTCCTTACGTAGTTTTATAGAAGGGCACAGATAATCTCAAGAAAAAATATTTTTCTGTCTTACTCTATAGATTTTAGAGGAGTTATTAAAAAATTGCATTGCATATCTATAATACTCCATAGTGAAATATATTTCATTTAAAATCTAAGCATTGGTCCATTAGGATGCATAGTTGACGTTTCTGCCCTTGCCTCTCAGATAAAGCAATTCATTTTATCTGGTTGTTTAATAGTGCACTTGCCACAGTGATTTGGTCTGAATGCAGATGGGTGAGCTGATGAGACTCAGAGGGAGAACTGTCATGTTTATTTCTTTAGCTTGCTTTTGTTGATGAGCAGGAAATCATACCCACTTGACTTTAGACATCTGAGTTAGGATCTTGGCACCTTTGAATGCCCTACATAATCAGTGGAGACAGGAGATCTGTCTGGAGGACAGTTGAGAACATCCTTCTGACTTCTGTGTCAACCCAATTGTCCACATTTTCTTTGGAAATAGATCCATTTTCCATTTGGACAAAGTCAAATTTAATGAGACCAGCGTCTTAAAAATGTATCTAGTATTCTCTATCCAATGTGCCCTTCTTGTCCAGATAAATAATTAAGGCCATATTTTTCCATAGCACTTTCCCTCACTTCATCTCACGTACTTTACAAAACAAGCCAGTGTCTCTGTCCTCATTTTCTGTCTGGAAGAACTGAGGCAAGAAGGGAGGGACTTGTGAGAGGTGCCTCAGGGCCACTGGCCCTATACTGAGGCCACTTACCACTCTGCCGGACTGGGAAATAAACGAGGTGGGTGCAAGGCCAGGACTGATGCTTAGTGGGAGACTAAGAAGGACTCAGTCTTTGCAGTGTGTTCCCATTTGTCCATCTCTGGAAGCCCAGTAATAGCACTACCATGGCAGCAAAGCAGGTATATGGTAGTGTCTGCTGCCAACAGTATCCCGCCCTTTCCCAACGCCAGATTTATGAGGTATCACTGAGACTTTCAGTGCTGCTTATTTTGCTGCATAACCTCATGTTTTGCAGTACAGACCCCTTCCATAAAGGGCATGTTTGACATCCAGTGCTAGGCAAAGCTGTGTGTGCCCAGAGGCATGGAGTTCCCAGCAGATGGCAAGACATCCAGCTACCCAGTCACACAAATCTTCTCCCTCTTTTTTAAAAAGAGAACCAGCCTCACCTTAGTGTATGTTTCGATAGGAAACTGTGTGTCAACATGCATAATTGCCATATTTGTTTATGAAAATGGCCATGCATGCGTTAGAGCAACACCCTTTGGTAGTAGTTTCAGAATTGCCATGTGTATCAGCCACATCTTAATATTTTGGGGGAGGGGAAGTCATAACCCTTACGTGAATGAATATGATATTTGGTTCTTATAGTATATTCCATATGGCCCTGAGGCAGGCCCATGGGATTTCCTCATATATGATTTGGCAGTCTGCTGCCTATTACTGTGTGTTTGCTTTCAGTGCTTCTGATCCCCAATTTATCTTTTTGTAGCAAAAGATCAGCGGCAGCTGGAGTTAAGTGGTATTTCAGATGTCCCTTTTTTTCCCCCTTTAAAAGTAAGGAAAGTATTGCTCTGTGTATAATGCATGACTTCCAGCAGCCAAGTGTTATTGGTGCTCTCTGTATCTACTGCTTTTCAGAGTCTTTGCCAAGAACTGGAAGCAAAATTTTATGAAGGGACTTTCAACTGGGAAAATGTAAAGCAACATGATGCAGCAAGTCTTTTAAAACTCTTCATCCGTGAACTGCCTCAGCCACTCCTCACTGTAGAATATCTCAAAGCTTTCCAAGATGTACAGAGTGAGTAGTGCCCTTTCTGTCTCAGCTGCGAAGAACTGATACCAATTGAGAGAAATGCCTCTTTGCTGTAGCAGTATTTTTGGTAATAATATGTGAAGCTGAAAAACAAATTGAATAACAACAATATGACTTCTCCTGAGAAAAAAACTGGGCATATTTTTGCTAATGTACAAATAACATTATTCATGGAACATCTATTTTAATAGTTCACACGTAAAATGAAAGCACATTGCCGCTTTCTGATAAGATGTTTCTGATAGTCGTTAGGAGGTGTGGATGGGATATAAGGACATTGTGTATGGTGGTATCAGCTTATAAACAATATTTGCTTCAAAAGAAAACAACAGCAAAGATACAATAGTTCTGCAGAAAATCTAACAAATGGTAATTTATACTGTTCAGGGTATTTTATCTATTTACAACAGGAATAGTTAGAGCATAATAGTCAGAACTGCTGATCATCCCTGGTCCCTTGAGATCGGCAAGTTCCTGTGAAAATGTCCTCCTTGCCACTGGTCACTGAGACAGCAAACATACCAGCTGTAATTGAAAGAGAGCGGGTTGGTGATAATGAATCAGGAGCAAGAACCCATATACATTAACTCCCCAGCCAACACAGGAGTGCAAGTTTAGGAAAAATCTATTCCCCTTGTCTGCAGGCAGAGCGATGGCTCATTTCTAAGGGATACTTTCAGGGAATTCCCATGGACAGGCAGACAGACAAATATTCTTAAAAACTGTGGGCCATGTCAGTCTCTCGGTTGTGAGCTGCCTTTCAAGGCCATTAAGTTGGTGGGAGTAGGGGGCTGGTGCTTAGGCCTGCTACATAGTGGTGTTGATTTTGCAATACTGAGCAGCAAGTTAAAGCTGGCCAGAATGCTTTCAAATGATGCTGGCAGCAGACAGCTCCTCAAGGTTGTTCCACTTACCGGATACTCATTGGAGCCAGGAGGGTTTCTGCTTGCTGCTCCTGAGCTGTCTGAAGGCTTACGTAGTTTTACTTACCCAGAAAATACTCAGGTGCCAGGATCCGAAACGCTTTCTACATTGAGCCAAAGGATTTGATGTAAAACAGACAAAGCACTTCATAGCCTCCCATTGTTTAAATTCTGCCCATCTTGTTGGTTGCATGTAATAAGATTAGGTGTTAGAGAAAAAGAGCCATCTTTGTGACAGTAATCAGTGTTTTTCATGATACTGTGACTAAGTAGTGTGGTTAGAATTAAACAACTTAATTTAAACAATTTAATTTCTTAATTTAAGTAATTTAAACAACTAAAATTCAGTCGTTATTTAGGTGAACAGACAGAAAACCTTGATTTAAGTAACGAATTTTAATTGTTTTGTAGTTGTATTTTTGCTTACTTTCCTAGGAAAAGGTTGATTCTCACTGCTTTTTGAGATACACTGTTATCACTACTTGCATGTTTTAAATGGCTATATAATTTGTCACTCATTTATTCAGATCCTTAATTTTTATTATGGTAGAAAGTAGTCAGCAAGGTTTTTTTTTTATTTCATCAATGAACTTTTTTTTTGGCAGTATCTCCCAAACTGATTTGGATGAAATGTATTTGAAATAGGAGTTCAGTTGGAATCACAGCAGGATGCATGAGAACAGCCCTGTTGAATTTTGAAATAGCGTAATAAAACTATGTCAAGTGCAGGTACCTGCCTCTTCACTTGTTTTATGTATGGCCTGATTCATTAGGAATCTGCGGAGAAGACTTGCCAGAGCACATCCTCTAAAGCATGACAGGAGGAAGTTTATGACAAGTGACAAATGTGGGAGAGTTGGGGCTTTCTGCTGCTCAACACTGCCAGAACGTAGGAGCTCTTCTAGGAGGTGGAGGAGTGTAGGGATGCACTCGTCCTGCATCTTGGGTGAATGATGCACCACTGAGCGACTGGGTAAAAGGCAGAACCAATGTCACTTTTCTTTAATTATAGCTTGCCACGTTTGGTACGGCACTCACTGCTGCAGATATGTGTTAAGCTTCTCTGCCCTTGGCTTTATCCCCACTGGTTTGCCGTTGCAGCTGCTGCTGCTTATGTCGCTGGAGATCTGCCTTATTCAGCAACACGTGGTATTCATTCTGTGCGGGTGACTTGGGAGACCATGCAACTGTTAAGGCAATCAGAGAAACTGTGAAAGCAGTTTTGCATATACCCTTTCATATGTTGGGGCACAGGCTCAAAAAGGGAGGAACTGTTAGCTGACTATTTCTTCTTGTAACATTGCAAAATAAAGACTCACAAGGCATCTAGAAAATATTGCCAGAAGACTGCTGAGTCATACAGCAACTGAATCCTAAAAGAACATTTGGAAATGAGTATCAGAAAACAAGGATCTGCCAGTCCTTTGTCATACTGTGACAATTAGCCATGTGTATGCATTCAGCATTTTGCATGAAGTTTCCACTTTGAAATCATGCTTTCTGAAGAGGAGAAGTGACAATTTAAAAACACTGAGGTTCATGTGCTTCACTGGCAGATCTCCCAACGAGGAAACAGCAACTGCAAGCTTTGAATCTTTTGGTTCTCCTCCTACCTGAAGCGAACAGAGACACTCTGAAGGTTAGAATTGCTAATACTTTTTTCCTGCACAAATATTTTGTCTGTTTCTGTGAATCCACTCTAATGAACACTGTTGTTTTTTAACATTCTTTTTTTCAGTTCAAAGTTAATGCTGAAACTAGTGATTCTTTTTTTTTTCATATTTCACAGAACTTCAGGAAAAAAAAAAACAAACCTTAGGACCCTAATTCCTCTCAAATGACTTTTAAGAATGTGACTGGAAATTTTTCCAGGAGATTGAAATAATAATCTCCCAGTTAGCAACCTTTTCTCTTACAAGTTTCGTTCCTTTTTTTGCAGCAGCAGTCATTATTTTCAATGCAAAAAATAAACAGTGTTAGAATACTATGGATGAGAGTTTGCTTTTATGAAATGGGTTTAGCTCTTCCTTTTTATTCCCTGCTTTTCTCTGTGCTGTTTGTTTCTGCTCTCAATAAGCTAGAAATTTACACTTCCCATTTGTATTTGCAGCACGTTACACGGAGTCTTCCAATTTGGGCTTGTCCTTTTGTAGCAAAGCTATTCATCTTTTTCAGAATATGCTTACTATTAAAATTGCTACAATCAAAAATGAATTTGCAGGATTTGTGTAGGATGCAAAACATCTTCTGTTACAGGCAAAAAAATCCTATTAGGTCTTACTGTTTAAACATTACTTTCTTTTTGAGTTTATTTACTGTGTGGAAGCAGCCAGGAGGGCTCCTGAGTTGAGTTACAAATATCTGGAACTGAATGAATTGAAGATTGTCAGTTTGTAACTGGCTACCCATCATTCACAATGCAGTGGTTTACTCACGAATTGCTTATGCTACAGACCTAGCCACTCCATGTTTCCATAACCATGACAGCTGGCACTATTGTGTTCACTTTCAATTTAAGAAAAGCCAACAGTAATGTTTTTGAAAGCATCTGTGGGACGCTACTTATGCACCTACATAACGAGGGTTTTGGAAAAAAACTTACTGTGCAGGGCTTCGAAGTCACTTGAATGCTTTTGAAAATGTTATTCACAAAAATAACAAGAATGATTTACTTCATTACTTAAAGGAAACAAAACTTGCATTACAGTCCTGTGAACAAACATGTCCCTACTTCCTATTATTGATTGCTTTTCATGTGGTTTTATTAGGAGTAAAGATCTTTTTCCAAAAATATGTAACATCATGTTTCACTCTCACTTTTTCATGTGCAGAGTTAAGCTGTAAGTTCTGCTGTTATTTCAGGTACTGCTTGAATTCCTCCAAAGGGTAATTGATCATCGAGACAAAAATAAAATGACGTTAAAGAATGTTGCGATGGTGATGGCCCCAAACCTTTTCACGTTTCATGGGTTTGGCTCAAAGACAATTGAACAAAGGGAGTTTGTTATGGCAGCTGGAACAGCAAATGTCATGCGCTTTATGATTCAGTACCAAAAACTTCTCTGGACAGTAAGTGTATTCGTAAGGCGGGGGGGGGGGGGAAATAATAATTTTCAAAACACGGCAATTGAGGGGAAATCATAAATTTCAGAAACAAGGCATTTGAACAAAGAAGTAATATGAACTTCTTTCCATGATTTAGAGAAAGATCAGCCTTGTCCAGCTGGGTTCTTGCTCATAGGTAACTCTTATGGGAGTGAAACAGAATGATTACATCTCATTGTAGAGTTAAGCTCTGATGGTCAGGGTTTTAATATTGTATGTACCATATGTGAACTCAAAAATAAGTCCTTGGGGGATCTTTGGCCTATCAGTATGCATTGTTATGAGGAATTTATTCTTTTCTGCTTAGAGAGATTAGCAGGAAACATGGTGTTTTAGTCCATTTCCCTTTTGGGCGAAACTTCGTATTATATAAAACATGTTTTGATAAAACATGAAGTTGTGCCATGGTCTCAAGCAAAGTTCTAACTTAGACAGACTGGAGAAGTTTGCGCTTTGTTGTCCGTCAGCAACTTTAAACAATTTTGACCTTTGCTTCATGTGAGGAAAAGTTATTAACACCATTGTACAGACTAAGTGTTGAGTGAATTTTTTGACTGAAGAAAGTAAAAGCACTGCATGATTCCACCTCTCTTCCCCTGAGAGCTTACTGGATGGAATATAACATCAAAAATTGAGTGTTTTTTAAATTGTTTTACAGGTTTGTGTTATTTGAATCTTTAATTATTACTGGAAATAAATACTATTTTCTTGAGTTCTACCTGACAATCTGTCGATTTACAAAGTTTTGATAAGTTAGTTACCTAAGGAAATTATGTAGTTATTCATACTTACTATCTATATTCATCTAGATTCCTAAGTTTATTATTAACCAAGTGAGAAAACAAAACACTGAAAGCCAGAAGAAGGAGAAAAAGGACAAAGCTATGAAGAAACTTCTGAAAAAGATGGCATATGACCGGGAAAAGCATGAGAAGCAGGAGAAGACCCCTAATGATGTAAGGAAACATATGTCTGAAATGTTTTATTAATAAGACTATCATCTCCAGTGAAAAAGTGAATATAGCAGAGGGGATATCTACGTGTATTTAACTGTGAATTTCAATAGAAAGCAAGTTAATACGGGTTTCATAGTTTATAACCAGCATGACACATTTAGAGGGCTGGGCTGTTTGTTTGTTTTCCCAGATTTGTCAAAATATTTCTGTTCTGAAAAACGATATCCCACAGGTTGTTTCAATTTGTGCGTCTGAAACAAAAGTATGTTAGGTCTATATCTGTAGAGGGAGCAAGTGTTGTGGCAACACTCAGTATTACTGTACTCACATTTCGATGCATTGCTGCCGAATGTAAGTCACAGCAGACCATGTGTTTACTTAAAAAATAAATATCAAATAGTGAAATCTAGATCTATAATAGTGTTTGGAAACAAAGTTAGCATTTAATCCTTCTTCCTCCTACAGGAGCTCCCAAACCACTGAGCTCTTTGCCTCAATGAATCTTTAACTCTTCCTTGTAAAGTGGAGCATGCTAGAGCATGCACAACCTGCCCACGCCAAGAAACCCCAAGGGATGAAATAAATGTAAAAAACTGATAAACTGCTTCTTATGCAGCTGTTGTCCAAGTGTCTACTCCCAACTTACCCCGTGTATATAATCTACAGTCCAGTATCTCTCCGTTAGGTTATTGACTTCTGCCAGACCCATCAGTGATGTCAAGGCATAAGTTTCAGTGTAACAGTCTTCACACATTCTTTACAGTGAAAAAGAAAAAAAGCCTGTGGCATTATAGTATTAATTTTTCCTGTACTTTAGGAATATTTTAATTGAACTGTTCCCACTGACATTGAAACTTTTCAAAAATATATCTCATGTACCTTGAAATTGCTTATTATTTATGATTTCAATGAAGTTAGTAATTAAAAATTTTTGAAACTCATTAGCCTATACAGTATGGTATCTTAATTATAATGCATTTGAAATACATGATTCCAAAGTTATTTTAAATATGCAAACAGGTAACACTAAATATGTGTATCCTGATAACATAACATATACATAACAGATTTAGGCGGTATGAAAATACCACCTTGTAGGTTGAAGTCATATTGAAGATTCTGGTGAATTAGAGACATCTTGCGGTAGCTTGCAAAAATGCATTGGTCTGGTTTATGTTTTTCTTATCAAGTATGTGTATGGCAAACTGTTACAAAAAAGGGTTGTCATATTCTAATAAAGGTATTTTTTTTAAGCTATTAAGCCAAGAAAATAGAATATGGCAAATGAATATGCTATATTATCCCTCAAATCTGCCTGGTTGGATCTTGCAAGTATGCCTTCTTTTTTCTTTTGAATGTACAAATAGCTGGATCCTTTGGACAACTGCATCCAATATCTGCTGGAGACTTATACTTTCGTGTTTCTACCTCATTTTGTATGCAATGTTTGACACATCTCTTAACGTCCAAAATTAATTAATTCCCCAGGCACTGCTTTGCCTTACTTTCATATCTATCTATATGAAGTAATCTGTACACAGAATATGGACTTACATACAATTTTAAAATAAAGCTAATTAAACACTGACATTTGTTTTACGCTGTCTAATAAGAAGAGAACTCTTTGAATACAATTCAGTTGAGTTATGATGAGATGACACTTAATGCTGCCATCCCCTGTTCAACATAGAAATAACAGTAAATACACTGAAATAGGCAAATGCTGTTGCAACTTCAGGTATTGGATTTTTTTGTAATTCAGTGCTGTTGGTCTTTTAGAGTAAAATACGCTATTTTAATCCACTGGGGAGTTAGGGCTGGAGTGTCATGTAATACATTCTTATTCAAATGTAAATGTAAAGTTCCTATTCAATAATTTTCTTTAAGCCCTAGAATTCTGTGGGGATTTTCTTCAAAATGAAATGGTACAATTTTTCACAAATCCTTCATGCTTATTTGAAGCATTTGTAGCATTCAGTAATTTGGGTGCCTGAGAACATATTATTCTTAAAATCATAGTCACAAATTGCTAAGGCTTCATTGTGAATGACAATTTTATACATTTTTCTAAGTAAAAAATTGTCTCATTCTTTAAGGAAAATTTGTTGTGGGTTTTTTTCCTCAATTTTCAATTTATACTGCCTTAATTTGAAAATGAGGTAGTTTTCCTGTGCAGTTCCTGAACTGCATTTCACTATTAGATGGCAAGTGAGGCACCCAGACTTGTGGTGAATCTCCACTCCAGTGAAAACTGTTTGAAACATTTGAGAGCAGCTGAATAAAAACTAAGTAAAAGTTGCTATTTTCTACCACATGCTGTGGCACCCCACATGATTAAACATAGATGGACAGAGCTTGAGTCACTTCCATACTCTCCAGAAATACCTCAATATCTGCATTCTTAATGGCAGTCAGCTCATTTGGATAAAATTTCATCTTATCTCTGATGAGGCCTCTCTATCAATCACATTTCCCCTTTTAAGACAGAGGTTAACATTTACTGCAAACTTTGGGCAAGATCTCTGTACAGTGCTGAGAGTGGTTAATATTAGAGGGCTCATGAGGGTTAATCAAGAGTGGTTAATATTAGAGGGCTTGTGAGGGTTAATTGCTTTTTGTGATGCCTATGCATACCCATGGCCCCAAGTCAGTGTTAGGGATTAAGTCTTTATGTTGATGTTGGGGTGCATAATGCTCTAGCCAGGCAAAGAAAGATGCCCTCAGGACTGGCAATTTACCTACTAGCATTAGCCAGATTTATACCATCTGTCATTGTATTCCTCTATACGTTGCAATTGTTCCAAAAAAAAGGAGCAGTCGTGTTAGCAGCACAATGCAGTGCTACTGGGCTTATCTAACACAGGTTAGAATAGCCATTGTATCCCATAGCTGTTCTGTTTGCATAACCTGTTTGAATTTTCACAGTATAACGTTACTGACTCTTGCTGAATTTGTTATCCACTGCAGTGGCAGATTATTTGCTAAAAAAATTGCTACCTGCTAAATCATTTCTCTTTATATAGTTTTACAGTTGTTTGTCCCAAACTAGGTGCAGCACTCTGCAGTTCAAAGAGAACAACTGCATCCCATTTCTTTCAGATTTTGTCTCCCATGTAGCAAGATCCTTTTGAATTCCAATTTTGTTCTTCATAATGCTCATGGCCCATTC